CAGACCAAATGTATGTCACTCGTCGAACCAGTGCCGTGCGAGCCGCTTAATTAATCATCATACGATAGAACTTAACGACTTAATCTTAAGGTAAGGTTACAAACTGTTTAACGCACGTCGAGTGTCGCGTCGCCTAGCGTCTCACGATGGAACACTCGTTAAATATGAGACGGATACTATTGAAACGTTCGGTAGAAAGGGCGCCACTTTATAGGGAAATGAAGGAAAGTAAAGACGAAACGTTTAATAAAAATACGCCAGGTGGAGTTGCGACAACCGATAGACAGCGTTTTCGTTATTTATAGCAAAGCTTAATTCGATTTCAAGACCACCGACGGTCGGAGATCAAAGTTCTGTCCAACCGATTTCGGACCGTTCAATCGATGGTGCAAAATATCAAGCCATGGGAGCCGTAATTGAATCTGTAACAGCAACCGAATCAGCGCGACGGCCAATCATTGTATTATACGAGTCACTCGCCGATCGACATTCGTTAGTCAATCGTTGGTATAATTGTTGGGTTACAGTTGCCCGGTTAAGCTGCAGCTTTGTAGTTCAAGTACCAGATAAACGCGCAGGGCTAACAGCGCGAGGTGGAACGACACGTGAAGCGAAAGAATGCGTTCTCTGTACATGCGTAGATCTTAAAACGAGAAATCATCCAACGTACGTATACAAATGACCTTCTGCTTTGCTTTATAAACGGGTCGTGTCATGCGTACGTGTCTCGAACGTACACGTGAGATCGAGAAAATATATTACGCGCTGTTAAAAATACGGTTTCATTTACAAAGTAAAATTGGCTGTGATACATTATCGACGCTTTCTCCTATCACATTAGCCGTTTAAAATTCTAACGAGCTCGCTTCGAGCTCTTCTCTCGACCATTGATTAAACGCACAGACACACCGTGGAGATGCTTCTGGATGGCGGCTGGAAATCTCAGTCCCGGACGACGCCTACACCACCACCACGTACCACCTTAATAGCTGTGTTTGCCCGGACTCACGGGACTCGACTGGGCTCCGCCAGGCCACGATATCCCCGCCGCACTTGCGCCAACCGGCTATTGCTCCTACCCTTCGCGAAGATATACTAACCGTTCCTCGTTCTTACGCCCACCCCCAGCGCAGTTCTATTACCCGTGCAGACTAACTGAACCCCTGCGGAGCTCCCACGCCCGCGAAACAGCCAATGCTGGAGTCTCTCAGGCAGGACCGTCTAACCTCGTCCAAGGGCGCCAACCTAGCGAATATGTTTCCCGTTTGTTAGCTAACATCGCGATTAAATACCGGTATACGAGGAGGAATATTCGACTCCCATTAATCGATGCAAAACATATCGATAGCTATACGATTAAAATACATCGCCACGAGGTATTAAAAATCGATTACCGAAAATAGGCTTTCCAATAATACAAATTGAATCTGATATTTTTTTCGTTTAGTTCGATGAGACGAGAGTAAATAAATATCAATAAAATTTCCCATCAAAAACTCGAGTAATGATATTTTATACGGAAAGTGAGTAAAGCGAGTAAAGCGAGGGTTCTAATTCCTGACTATACGGGTCTAGCTCTCGCCCCGTTCAGTCGTGTTGTGACTGGGTAAACGAAATGCTCTAATGGTCTACGTTCGTCTGTTTCCACTTGTTTCTTTGAATTCGTGAAACGAACGACCACGATTACACGATAATATTTCAATCGTTAATTCGACGCGATTTCGTGAAAGGAAAGAAGTTTCGTATAAAATTACGTTGCAAAGAATAAGTGGAGAAGATAGGGAAGCAGCGGGCGTATATGTAAATACGCATCATCTCTTCGCCCGGACCCTACGAAGGAACGCGCAATAGAGGCAAACATACGAAATTGAACGATACGGAGAGAAAGGGGAACTGGTCGGTGGTAGGTAGTGGAAAGGGAACGGTGTTGATCGTTTGACGAAGGCATTCGCGAGCATGGGATTCTCCTACGCGGGGTTGACCGTTCAAATTTTTCTCCGTCTCTTTGAAGTTACCGGCTGTGCTGTTCGCTTGGCTAATATCCGTTTCACGAACATCGGTCACGTCACGTAAAAGAGCGCCCACCTTGATTTTTCATTGCCGAGACATTGTTCGACGACTTTAACGATGCAATTAATCCTGGAAGCTTGATCGCTAGAATGTCCTGTCGACAGACCAAATGTATGTCACTCGTCGAACCAGTGCCGTGCGAGCCGCTTAATTAATCATCATACGATAGAACTTAACGACTTAATCTTAAGGTAAGGTTACAAACTGTTTAACGCACGTCGAGTGTCGCGTCGCCTAGCGTCTCACGATGGAACACTCGTTAAATATGAGACGGATACTATTGAAACGTTCGGTAGAAAGGGCGCCACTTTATAGGGAAATGAAGGAAAGTAAAGACGAAACGTTTAATAAAAATACGCCAGGTGGAGTTGCGACAACCGATAGACAGCGTTTTCGTTATTTATAGCAAAGCTTAATTCGATTTCAAGACCACCGACGGTCGGAGATCAAAGTTCTGTCCAACCGATTTCGGACCGTTCAATCGATGGTGCAAAATATCAAGCCATGGGAGCCGTAATTGAATCTGTAACAGCAACCGAATCAGCGCGACGGCCAATCATTGTATTATACGAGTCACTCGCCGATCGACATTCGTTAGTCAATCGTTGGTATAATTGTTGGGTTACAGTTGCCCGGTTAAGCTGCAGCTTTGTAGTTCAAGTACCAGATAAACGCGCAGGGCTAACAGCGCGAGGTGGAACGACACGTGAAGCGAAAGAATGCGTTCTCTGTACATGCGTAGATCTTAAAACGAGAAATCATCCAACGTACGTATACAAATGACCTTCTGCTTTGCTTTATAAACGGGTCGTGTCATGCGTACGTGTCTCGAACGTACACGTGAGATCGAGAAAATATATTACGCGCTGTTAAAAATACGGTTTCATTTACAAAGTAAAATTGGCTGTGATACATTATCGACGCTTTCTCCTATCACATTAGCCGTTTAAAATTCTAACGAGCTCGCTTCGAGCTCTTCTCTCGACCATTGAAATCCTTATTTTTATTATATTAATATATATTTATTACATTAATATATTATTATATTAATACATGCATCCGGAGTGAACAAGAATTTACGTCTTCGTTACAAAGATGAACGTAAAATTCTCTTTTTCTTCACGATCTAGTTGAAATATCGCTGTGTAGGTGAATAAGATAGGAATAGCGAAGAGGCGTCGTTCCTCGAGAATGTAAGAAGCGAAAAGTGCAAAATGACGACAGGTAATGATACATCTAACGCGTAGACACGCGAAGATTACGGAGATTAGAGTCGTCCCACAGGTTGGGAGCGGCGGGAATGTAAAGTTGTTGCTTTGTTACCACGGTAAACAGTAGGAAAGCGGTGGAAATTAGTCGTTCGGCTAGAGCCAGTGCCAGGAGTGGCACCGCGATAATTAGGTTTCACTTGGTTCGCTTTAATAATCCAGACAACATGCAAAGTGCATTGCTGGGATCCTTGCATCCGTGAAAGCATAGCATAGCGAAGTGTCTGGTGTGCGTGACCAACGTTAACGTTACCGCGGCTTGGCCGCGGTGGGTGACAAATTTTGCAAGGACAGCCGGAATTATTAATGCCTTTTCCGCGGAGAGGCCGAGACGAGGCGCGAAATTAGCAAGCCCGAAAGCGGTACACGCTGCACTACAAGCGAATTCCAATCGAGATAATGAAAATTAACGACGTTAAAGCGACGTCACGCTCGTAATTAATTATCGCGGCCCGTTTGCTGCTTGTCGATCGGCTCTTGGCACACCGGACCCTTTCCGTAGGGAAGGGCCATAATCGCGATATCAATCTACACGACGCGACGCCGCGATTAATTCCTCAAGACGCCCTGTATATCTATATATGCATGAACCACCGGCTCTATGAATTATACATCACGTCGCCGGCACCCTCGCCGCGAACTTTCTTGCGGCGGATGATCGTTCTTGCACTCGGCAAGAAAGATAAGACAAATAAACTCAGCTCTTAATAAACGCTGCTTCCAAAACTACCACGTGCTACTCTCAACCGAGAAAGAATCTTTCCAATACCCAGCCAATCGATTGTTCCTTTAATCTCAACGGATTATTTTCGTCACTGTTAACTATGAAGACTCCAGCAACGCACTCTATTTCACTCCTTATCTCATCCCTACTCTTTACCTAACTTCCGTATCTCTCTTTTTCTACTACACACGCTGTTCTCGTCACTCGAATTCTACTCTTCGATAACGTAAAATTGCATCCTCTTGCCACCTACGCATTGCGTCAATGCATCGCGCGATTTTAACGTATGAACATTATTTGCGTATAGAACTCTGCGAAGCATTTCATCCAAGAATTTCAGTCCCATACGGCATTTATTTTGGAACTGTGCAAAATTTTCCATTTCGAAACATTTTCAAGGTAATAATACGTCGAGTAACGCGTATATACTAGCTATATCCTTCTTCGGAGTCGCATCGAAGAAATAGATGTCTGTGTAAATTCATTCTCGTGTGTAGATCTAATAGTGGCGTAAAGATGTACCAGTATACACGGTAAGACTTTAATCCAGTTAACGAGCGTAACAAATGCTTTGGTTAAAATTTCGAGTTATGCCTCATACATCTGGTATTCAAAAATGCCGACTGCAGGAAAACACGTGCGAAACACGTGTACGCAATGGTTCGTAAAAGGGAAAATCGCTTGAAAAAGATGAGTCAATCTTTTCTAGAAAAAAGTGAAACGTTAGTTTAAATTATTTAACACAGTTCGTCGCAATAAAAAACATTATTACAAATAAATTAGATACCCTTTCCATCTACGCTCCATAACATAAATTTCATATTGTTGTAAATAATAAAGTTGATAAACGAAATGAAGTGAACTAATGAAATAAATATAAACCAGTTGCATTATATATCGGTAAACGAACAATCTCTAACAAATTTAAACAAATTTATTTAAAGATGAAAAACCCGTTTAAATTCATAAAATATAGGTGTTGTCATAAGTATATCCATTATTAAATATTGTGAATTATTGGAATCAGGTTCAGCACTTAAAACTGTCGTCTGCTTGTATAACCATGATGCTTCTACACTTCCAGTCCTTACTCTGATACGTTTCTTTATTATATTAGCGGCATTTATAACGTCTTCCTCTAATTTCGATCGTAACAAATCGAGGCCTGTTAATTTAGTTGTAGAAATGATAAATGCATCCTCTGGTACAACACTTTTTATCGCATTTTTTTCAACTAAATCACATTTATTAGCAACGTTAATTATTAGTTTATTTTCATCCACCATAGATTGTATTGTTTTTTGAACATGTTGCACTTGAGCTTTAACATCAGGATGACTTATATCAAACACGTGAATTATTATCTCCTATAAAGGAAGTTGGATATGATTACTTTTGTTATTGTACAAATTTTAATAAAGTTATCAAAAAAAAATGTTACATACTGCATTTATAGCATCTTCCAGAGTTACTCTAAATGGCTCTATTAAAGTTTCTGGTACATCCTGAATAAATCCAATGGTATCGATATATAATACTTTCATATTATTTGGTAGAAATCCTTGGTGTACCGTTGTATCTAAAGTGGCAAATAACTTGTTCTCAGGTTGTAGCGAAACATCTCCTGTTAATGCTTTTATCAATGATGTTTTACCAGCATTTGTATACCCAACGATAGCAATATTTGGGAAACCATACCTACATCTTTGTCGCTTTATCAGTTGTCTATGTTCTTTCAGTTTCACCAGTGCATTTTTTAATTTTCTTTCTCTGGCATGGAGAAAAGCCTTTGTCTTATCATCAAAATTTATTCGTTTTTGAATACGATAATTAGCTAAATCAATCATTTTTTTCTTTATATATGGAATTTCGGCCAAAGCTACTTGCAATTTGGCTTCTGACGTTCTTGCGTGTTCTCGAAAAATATGAATAATTATAGAATACCGATCATAAATTGGCAAGTTGAAAATTTGTTGTAGTTCTGCAATTTGTATAAATTTTAATAAATTTGCACTAACAAATATAGCTGTAACATGTGGACAACTTCTAATATCTTTCTTCAAAGTTTCCATAGTTCCAGAACCAACTAACTGTTTTTTTTGTAAAGAAAGTAATGGAACTATTTTTTTACCAACAATGCTCCAATATGGTAGAGTATCAATGAGTGCTACAGCTTCAGCTAATTGCAACTCAGGCGTAGTACTTCTTTTCTTTTGAACACCCCACTTTATATATGGTTGTATTATAAATACTCTATTTCCTCTAGTAACTGTTCCCAAGTAATCTTGGCACAGGTCTGAGTAAATCTTATTTTCTTCTTCACTTTCATTATATTCTTGAAATGTTGAATTAGATATGTATTTACATTGATAAATAGCATTAAATACATTAACTTCCTTTTTTCTATTTATTATATATTGTGACTTATTTAAAATTCCAATAAATTTTTTCAAACACCGCATTATTTAATAATTATATAGTACTTAATTCTTTAAATATACATTTCGGTACAAATAATTCACAAGGCAATAATTATATATATTATTTCATAACCTTCAATTTAACATATTATTGATAAAATGCTTAATTTAGCTACAAAGAATATATTGTTACATATACATATATTTACGTACATTTATTACGTATTATACTCTAATAAGGAATACTTAACCTTACTTCGCATGTGTCTCTAGTATTAAAACACTCAAGAACCGAACGTAGCCTCAAAACAATAACATTTCAGAATAATTATTACTCACAATCCAAATAACTACAGATTTTATTTTAAATTGTATATGTGTTTGTATACGTTTGTTCTTAAAGGAAGAAATTATTATATATATGTATGTGTTTTGATTAAAATATACCTAATATATTTATTAGCAGATAATACTATATATTCAATCGTTTTTTTAACTTATATCTATCAAAATATTTATCATTTTCGTAACATCTTGAAATAATTAACACTCTATATTTTATAACAATGACATTTACGCGGGTTAAATTCGAGAATCGACGTAAGTCGAACAGATGTTTCTGCTACGTGACTGAAAACCTTATCACGCAACTGACAAGGTGTCAATTCCTTCAGAATTGTAAATTGTGACTTTCCAAAATTAAAAGTAAAATTAAATTCAGTTGTGTATAAAAATGGAACCAGGAACATTAACAAAAGTTTTATTCGACTTTTTAACCGTCGCCGATGGAGAGTTATGTTTACACAAAGGGGAATACTTTTTGGTAATTTTATAAATATATATTTATATAAACATTTACATATAACCTTATCGTACATAATTACGTTTTTCTATACAATTGATGCAGGTATATAGTGTCATAGACAAACATTGGTGTTATGGTGAATCTCGAGGCAGAACTGGAAAATTTCCTTCAAGTCATTTACACAAAGTAGAAATTCCAACATTACATGATTCTCAAACATTGTTTGTGTCAACTGTTGACTTTCAAGGTCAGCAGGATGGAGACTTATCTTTTTCTAAAGGTAACTTATGTAAATGTATGCACAAATTATACTTTTAACATAAAAGAAAGTTATTTTATGTATGTTTTATGGGAATAGGAGAAATTATTATTGGATTACAAGATGTTGGTTCTGAATGGTACTCGGGCCAAATAGATACTAGAGTAGGTATTTTTCCTCTAACACATGTATGGCAACTTGACACTAAATTATTAAAGGTATATATCTTCTGCAAATAAATTTTTACATTCAAGAATTAAGTAATCTATTATATAAGTAAAAATTATAAGATTTTCATTATTTTTAGAAAAGTTTGGAAAAAACGATTGTGAAAAAGAAAGCTCGAATAAAACATAGTTTAGAAGCACAGCTTGAAGGAGAACTTAATTTGGTAGAAGGTGAAATGATTACTGTCACAGAAATTTTTGGAGATGGTTGGTGCTATGGAATGACAGAGGATGGTAAAATGGGTGTATTTCCAGAAGGATTTATATCTTATGTAAATGATAGTACAGAACAGCTAGATATAGCATGTACAGTGGACAATAATTCTTTTTCTACAACTACAAATCATGATGAAAGGATACATAAAGACATTAAGGAAACCCCTTCCACAAGTTTCTTTGTTGAAGAACCTGCACCAAATTATTATGATTTATTTCCTGAATTTAAACCAGTTTCTTCAGATTCAACAGAAAGCTTGAAAAATATGAGTAATTCGAATGCATTAAATGTAAAACCATATGCTATTACTTTGTATCCATTTAATGCTCAGTTTCCAAATGAACTTAATTTTGATGCAAAAGAAGTGGTACATCTCATTAAACATATAGATTCAGAATGGATGGAGGGTACAATAGATAATCGAAAAGGCATTTTTCCTATATCTTATGTAAATATTATAGTTGATTGTAATGAAATAAACAGTGAACAAAATTTATACACGCAAGAAACAAACAATGTGCAATATGATGAATTGATGCCTGGAACTGAAGCAAGAGTAAAGTATACTTTTAAAGCACAGATGGATGGAGATTTAAGTATTTTTGAAGGCGAAATAGTTAAAGTAATTAATATGGCAAATTCAGATTGGATTAATGTTGAAAATCACTCTGGCAAAGTTGGATTATGTCCAAGAAGTTACTTGGGTCTGTTGTCTACAGAATCATTTGATATTAATACAGATATTTTGGAAGATTTTGTAGTAATACGGCATGATGAAGTAACTTCTAATAGATTAGAAGAACAAAAACCAAAGAGACTTTCAGAACCGCATAGACCAGCACCACCTATACCAGCACCGGGCAGAACTCCGTTACAAAAGAATACAACAGAGAGTAATAAAATTTCGGACGACGTTAATCAACATATTAGTATTACTGATAATGATAATTTGGAATTAAAACAAAAAAGAACAGATCAAAGACAAAATGTTATATCGGAATTAGTCCTCACTGAAAAAGAATACGTTCGTGATTTAAACTTAACGTACGAGATATTTAATTTATATGATCCAAGTCAACTTGTATCTTTGGGAGTAGATGTAACCACTTTATTTGGAAATCTTCTTGATATTATTCACGTTGCGGAAGAATTGTTGGACAAAATACTAAAAGCTATGAAAGGGTGTGATGAAGAAATGCAAACTGTTGGTCCTTGCTTTATGGAAATGGCTGAAAAATTAAAAGGCGTTTATGTAAAATATTGTGGAAACCATGAAGCTGCGTTAGTTTTGTTAAAGAAGGTTATTATAGTTTACTTAAATATTTTTGCTTATATATTTTACATGTTATTATATAATTTCAGTATGAAAATAATGAAGAAATAATGAAAGTATTCAACAAAGGTATTGAGACATTACGATATAAAGTAGCCTGTTTTGACATGAGTTCTATACTTATAAAGCCAGTACAAAGAATATTAAAATATCCCCTTATTTTATATGAGTTAGTGAAGGTAAGTAATGCTAATTTTTATGCCTATATTAACAGTTTACTATAAAATTCTTTCAAAACATATAGCTGCTTTTTAGTGTACCGATGATAACCATCCTGATAAACATCCAGTCGAGGAAGCATGGAAGACTATGACAGCTGTTGCCAGTCATATCAACGAATATAAACGTCGAAAAGATTTGGTATCAAAATATTTGGATAATGGCAACACACTGATGAGGAAAATGGCTAAACTTAATATGCATTCTGTAGCAAAAATGTCTACTAGATTAAGTACACGATTGTCTACCAGCTTAGGATTAACAAATATTACCGTTGATACGGAATTTGAAGAACTTGAAAAACAATTTAGATCTGTTGAAAAATGTGCTTTACAGTTAGCTAAAGATGTTGAACAATGCCTTACATATTTAAGTAATGAAGCTCTCTGTGGAGAAATGATATCAGATTATGTGATTCAGTACTATCAAGGAACATCAAATAGCGAAGCAAAGAGACTTAGAGACATAAGATCCATAATTTTGTCACAATCTGTACAAGAATTGAAAATATGTTTACAGAATAGAGTTAATGCACCAATACAGTTTTTAATAACCTTACTAGATGGCCCTACTGTTTTAATAACAAAACGGCATGATAAATTACTTGATTATGATGCTGCTATTTCAAAGAGTGAAAAGTATAAAGAATCTCGAATAGTATGTTTGTCACATTTGATTATTTCTTTAATTAACATGATTAGAATGATAGATAAGCTGCAATAGTCTATTTTCTACAGGCACAAGATGAATTATCAACAGCAAAGAGTAATTATGAAGCTCTAACCCATCAACTACTAGAAGAATTGCCAATTGTCATTGATGCAGCAACAAAGATATTAGTAAATTGTATTACTGCTTTTGCACATGCTAGAAAGCTTTTATGTGGAACAATTACCAAAAGATATTTGACGTTTTGCGAGGTATTTTAAATAAAATAATAATCGATATTTACAATTATATAAAAATTTAGAAATTAATTAGTATTCTTTTGTAATTATAGTCCTCAACTCAACTGTCATCTCAGGATATTTTGGAGTCATTTTTGGTTAATCATAATTTATTGTGGAATCAAATAACTCGTTTTGCATTTGCGGGCACAAATCCACGTATAGAAGAAGAACAATCGACGTGGTGTCCGCAAAGTGAAAGACAAAGAATTTCATTAAAAAATAAATATTCCAGTGATAAATTATATGTTGTTACCCAAAATATAGTAAGCACTTCATCTTTGGATATGGGTGCAGCACGTGGAACGTTGGTTGCAGTGATTAAGAAACAAGATCCTATGGGTGATGTCTCAAGATGGTTTGTAGACAATGGAGTTGCTCAAGGATTTTTACCTGCTAAATGTTTACAAATTCAACAAGTATCACAAATTGAATTATCCAATGAAGTTCCTACCTCAAATAAATATAATAACATGTCCATGCCTGATCTAATTTGCATGGACTCTCCTGAAAAAGAACCTGAAGCTATATCCCAATTAAATTTGCAAAATTTACTAGACCTTGATGTTAATAATGTAATTAAAAAAGAGCCCGAGTATTATGGTAATATTGAACAAATTCCAAAAGTTCAACAATATCAAAATTTAAACTATGAGGTAACTAAATGTGTAAAATAGATAATAAGAATAAGATAAAATAGAAATTCCTTATTGAACTAAATCATAATACTTTTTAGTTTTACTATGCAGAATATGATTTTTGTACAAATATGTCTGGGACACTACCTGTCAGTAAAGGTCAAGCATTAAGGCTTGTTAGACCTCATGATGAGAAAGGAAATGATGAATGGTGGCTTATGGAGGATCGTTACGGCAATAAGGGTTATGTACCTAAAAACTATTTACACGAACCACCTACGGGAAAACAATAAACTCGCAATATCAGTTTATATATTTATATATTAAATTGTTAGTATTAATTATTTAATGCACATAGTTTTTTTAATAAGAAAAATTCATTTAACTCGTGGAATAAGAATTATTTTAAATATTAAATAATAATTGAAATTATTTTTAATTTATTAATAGATGTTAGCTACATTTTAATTTTATGGAAAAGTATTGCAATGTTATTTGCTTATTGTACTTATGCTAATATGTTTTATGCTTAAATGTACTTCCTTAATATTTATTTTTATATCATACATATATGTGTACACACACATGTGCTTATGTATACATGTATATAAGTATGTGTATAATATAATTGAAACATGTATATTGTAACTTTGTTTACAATGATAATGTATTGCTCCTGTGATACTACAAATCTGTGTTAATCTGATTTAAATATTTTAATTAAATGTTTAATTATAATATATATGCACACACACACACACATACACACACACACATTCTTAACGTATGTTGGTGATATATATTTATATATTATATACATTTGAAATACATTATATCTATTCTTTAAACACGTTTATAAAAGTATAATGCGGATTTAACACTTTTCCATTTTATATAAAAAAAAATATGTATATTTAATAATATATATCTTTATTGTTCTACATTTATCACGTTACAAAAATGTCAATAAAATTATTGAATAAATATTAATACGCTTCTACAAAAAAAAAGTAAATAGTTAGAACTATAATAATAATTGCATCATGTAAAATGACATGTTTCTTAATACAAATTAGTATCTCTATATTTTTATTTACATGTTACTAAAAGTAATTGTTATCACATTAAAGAAGCAAGAAACCTCAATGTAGTCATATATTAAAACATAAAGTTATGAATACTATTATTGAATAACTAACAGAAAACTTTTAATAACTAATTATTTAGAGCAATATAGATCTAGAATCAAGTTACTGTGTAACTCCTAATCAAGTGTAAATCCTGTATTCCACTACTATTAATTTTACGGTACTCTAATTAATTGTAGTAAATAATGTATAGTTGTTTCTATGTATCATGATTATTCTTAATCGATAATTCGTAATTAACGACTGATCTTTTCTACTAGACTGATATTTATAGATATATCATACAAAATTATATTATAAAAGGTTATATGTAGTTATAATTTGTAAAAAAATGTAAAAATTATTAAATTTACTGTCAAGAACAAATTAATATTGTTAATAACAAATTATTTAATACATAAATTTATGATACAAGTAACAAAAAATAATAAATTATTTAATAGAAATGTAATTACTGAAATCGATAACGATCACAACTATTGCCATCACTCTTCCACAGGTAATCACTGGCTATATAAAGGTCGTAACGTTGCAAATCCAAGTAAAAAATATTCCTTATAATTCCTTTTACTATCTTTCTTATCAAATAGAACAATTACTTTCGTGACTATTGCTTCACGATTGAATCACTGTCTCTTTGTAATTGCAAAACACGACGAGTTCGTTGAAACGTTGTCGGGCAGATGGTATTTATGTATATACGAAGTATCTAGTGTAGCAAATAGTAGCCTTGAACGAATAAAGAATGATCTAGTACACGACAGCATACATGACAATTTATCATAATCAACGAAAATTTGGTTAACTGGAGGTTTAAAAAGCAAAATGATAGTAACGAGTCTCTCCCATATACTTGATTTTCTATGAGTGAATTGAAACGTCCTCCGTATAAATTAATCCACTTTCAAGCAGTCATCAATTTTTATTAATTTCAGTGAATTAATTATTCGATAGATAATAGCGAATGGATACATCGTAGAATTTTTATAGAAAAAAATGTTACCAATAGCGTTTGATGAAAAAGAGAAATAAAGTCGTGAGGTTATTTTTGGTAAATCTGTTGTATTATCACCATAATATAATACAATTACTGTCACGATAAACAGTCGGTGCAAGAACACGTGGTGTTACGAGTGTCCACATCGTTACATTATCGGCTAGGTTTACAATGAAAAATTAAAAAGGAAAGAAAAAAAAAGGACGAGAGGTAATGTTACCCTTAAACAAAGAAAACAGTCTTTCAAGGTCCAGCGACTTAATAACTGCAATGTGAAGTATGATTAGTCATTTTTCATGTACGCATAGGACGATCGGTCAACTTATTCTAAATCGCGCTTTCTAAAAAAGAAATACTGATACCTTCGATGAAAATAATTTTCGTGCTTCGATTACGAGACAATCGTATCTTATAAATGATTACATTATGCGAATCAGTGTCTACCAGACCTACATTGAGTAATCGGTTCCCTTCGCGTGATTGCAGTCTCATTTGCAAAACCGCTGGCAGATATGTTTCATTACTCGTAACCCCGATCATTTGGGAGAAGCGTTTTACTTCCTGTTTTTAATCGGTCGATTATGTTTCGAGTACGTGTTGAAATGCATTCTGAGTACGATTTACGTCACTTGGAACAACATTTATCGACCCGATTACAGTCTCCGCAAATAACTTTAAATTTTTCGAACGTTTGCAGGCCGGTATTTCATCTTAGACATTTTAAACCATAACAATCATTATAATTCAATTGACGTTAAATATTTAACGATATTGTTAATCATCTTCCGATACATCGAACTTATACGTACATATATTTATTTGTTCGCTCTTCTTATACCACGATTATAGGTTATAATCTACCTGAGGCTTAACTTACAATTAATCAATTATTAACCGATAATAACTTTGTTCAATGATCGGAAAAAGTATAGAGAAACGTATCTGCGAATTTTTATAACAGATTGTGCTTTGTTATATTGACAGATCATCGTTACAATTAGGAAACCTCGAACGTTAAAAGAATCGTGACTACGAGTCATCGTATTGGTTAGAATCGTTAAAATCTACCAACGTTAAAGATTACGTATAATACAAATCGGGTCCCGTTATTGGTTCACGAGTGAAAGCAAAATATTGTGATAATAGCGAAAAAATGACGAAAAATACTCGCGTAACGGCTTACCCGCACGATTCAACGCTAAAACTTTCTCTATCCATATTCCGTACGTTTACACGACATCGTTCCTCGAACCTAACTTCTTTACTACTCTATAACCATACCATTTCGTGAAATCACTCGTGCATTCGCTGGTTCACGATTTTCAATCACGTCTCCGAAGCGTAATTAAACACCATTGAAACGAAATGAAGAAAAATACGAGAACCACTAGTCTTCTCGTTACATACAAAGCAACAGCACAATCTATATGAATCGATTCAAAGAAATCATTATTGTACATATATCATTGATATATCTATGTTGCGATACACGTGTATCCTCTAACTCGTCCTCCTCCTCTTCCTCCTTCGACTTTGTATCTTTTAAGGTTATATCTCCTCCAGCATAAATCGTTCGAACGATCTAACGTTTTCTGAAAGACAACTATACCGTTACTCGCGTTGCTCTTTGTTTCTCGCGCGGTGAAGAAATTACACGAAACAAAGGAGGACCTATTATCTCGATGATTCCGTGAAACGTCAGTGTCCCCTGAGTATTCGTTCATCCGCACCGGCCGCGCAATACCTAATTAACCGAAGGTGATTCCGGTACGCTTGACTGCTCATTAAATAATCCTCGCACGCGATGTTCCATTTAGAAGAAGCGTAAAATCGCGCGTCCTTGGATCTCGGAGCGACACAATTTGCGTACCACTTCGAGCACATCATCGGCCGGATACACTGTGTGCGGCGGCGGTTCTATCTTGCCGGAAGCTATCAATTCGACCAGCTCGCTGAGTTGCTCCAAGGTGCCAGGTTCGACCGGTTTGATGCTCTGTTGCCATTCCTCGGTGCGTCTATTGAATTTTGGCAAAAGTCGATCAGCCACTTCCTTCGTCACGAACACCACACCCCCTTTGCTCAGGCACTGCATACTGCGATGAAGGCTGCGAGAAGTGGTGCCAAAATCGATCACAACGTCCACGTGACCCTGACAAGCGTCCATTGTGCGCTCGATCAGCAGTTTCTCGTACAGATCCTCGTTCCACTGTACCACGTTTACTCTGTATCGAGAAAGGAGATTATTGATGAATAAATCGAATGGACTTTTGAGAAGACGCAGATGGGCTGGATATTGATCTATTTACTTTAGTTTCTTGTATGACACGTGGGTGGCAACATTGGGACGTGTTTTAAAAATCGTCTATTTCCACGGAGGGAGAAAAAATCGATTGGAATTTGAACTCGAATCGTTCGATTAGGACAGACAGCTTGGCTATTAATTCCGGGCAAGATCTATATAGATTAGGTACTTCGTGTATTTAAACGTGGGTATGAGCGATTACGCTGTCCAACAAATTTTTACTTTTTCTTTAAACTGTAACACCCATTACGTCATTCTCGTGGTACTTACTTTCTTGAAATCGAATTTGTAATTCTAAATTGCTTTATCACCAACAAAAGTCACGATTTTTGGCTAAAATGAGGTAAGTATGTATAATCCAAGTATCAATGGAAGTAACATATAACAGACTATGAAAAAAAAAGAAAAAAAAAAAACGAAAATACAATTCGTTATGACTATACAGACACACGACGTAATTATATATGTATCTCTTTTTTGTATTTAAAACAATGTTATTTATTCATTCTTTTGATTTTCGTTTGTGATTTTTATACTGCCAAAATTCTAAATAATCAATAATGTATTAATTGATAATAAATGTATTATTAGTGAAAACAAACTGTTAAAATAAAAAATAAATATTGTTTACGTAAAATAATTATACCTATTATATTACTGTATAAATAGCCAAGGATTAAAAAAAAATGTTATCTTAAACGTCCAGTAAAATGTGATGTATAGTAATAGAATCCTGTTAAATAAACTAAATATACCCTTAATGCAATCCGTTGATACGGCCCTAATTCCTACAATAAGTTACACAAGGCTAAAAGATCGAGCGATATTCGATCAGCGCCATCTATGATTTTGGACCATTTGCTCGGAAAGGTAGTAGGAATATAGAATAGGCAAGGAGGTCGTCGACGAGCTCATCACGTGACAGACAAGGATAGAGAGGGGATAGAAAAGGATAAAATGGCTCCGTCAGTGAAAAATTATTAATTACTCAATTTCCGTAAACAATTTGTGAACTTTTATAATTTCATTGCAAAGCTGGAACTTCAGGCTACATTCCTATATAATATTCGTAAACAATTTAACTCTAAATTATTAGTTATTAATTTCTGTTTGATAGCGTCTATGATTTCGTAACGGCGACCATCACGATCTTCCGTGAAAATATTTAATACTAAACGAAACTAGAAGCAAAATGTGATCAAAAGTTATATGAGAAGATTCGCAAGAACATTGTCTTTATAATGAGTGCATAAAGCTTTATAAATTAATTGCATAAAAGATAGTAATTAATGAAAAACCAATGGCGTCCTTAACAACAACTCAAACACTACGTAGAATAATAATTAATAATTAATTAATTAGGGACAAATTTATATCGAAAAATATATTGGAAAGTTCGTGAAGGATCTGCCTTTACGATTCAATTATAAAAGTTCATAAATTAATCGCAGGAATTGAGTAATTAATTAATTTTCTAATAAAAATTCAAAAAGGAACAGTCAGCGCCGCCTATAGTTTTGTATTGGAACTAACGGAGCACAAGCTTCCAGATAAAAATCATAGGCGGCGCTGACTGTTCCTTTTTGCATTTTTATTAGAAAATTAATTAATTACTTAATTCCTGCGATTAATTTATGAACTTTTATAATTGAATCGTAAAGGTAGATCGTTTAAGAACTTTCCAATATATTTTTCGATATAAATTTGTCCCTAATTAATTATTTATTAATTATTATTCTACGCAGTGTTTGAGTTGTTGTCAAAGACGCCATTGATTTTTCATTAATTACTATCCTTTATGCAATTAATTTACAAAACTTTATGCACTCAATATAAAGACAATGTTCTTGCGAATCTTCTCATATAACTTTTGATCATATTTTGCTTCTAGTTTCGTTTAGTATTAAATATTTTCACGGAAGATCGTGATGGTCGCCGTTACGAAATCATAGACGCCATCAAACAGAAATTAATAACTAACAATTTAGAGTTAAATTCTTTACGAATATTATATAGGAATGTAGCCTGAAGTTCCAGCTTTGCAATGAAATTATAAAAGTTCACAAATTGTTTACGGAAATTGAGTAATTAATAATTTTTCACTGCCGGAGCCATTCTATCCTTTTCTATCCCCTCTCCGTCCTTGACTACCACGTGATCAGCACTTCGACGACCTCTTTGCCAATTCTATATTCCTACTACTTTTCCGAGCAAATGATCCAAAATCATAGATGGCGCTGATCGCAGTCGGTAAAATCGTTATTGATTTTATTGCAACCAGTTTATTTCCTCTGGTTATATGCTCTAATATATTCTAATAAATCAATTCGGCAGTAGAAAATAAATATATTACCAAGATTCTGTAATTAATTCATAAACTTTTATAATTGCATCGCAAAACTGAAACTTTGAGCAATATTCTTATGCTATTTTCGTGCATAATTTGGTGGTGCTAATTAGTTTCTGATTAATAATTATTTGACACTGTACGTGATTTCGTACGAACGACCGCCGTGATGGCTCATGGAAATATTTAATTCTGAACAAAACTAGAAACAAAATATGAACAAAAGTGACATGTGAACATATCTAAGGATATCGTTCTTATAATTTATGCATGTAATTAAAAAAATTAATTGCATAAAAGTAAGTAATTAACGACAAACCATTAATATCTTTGACATCAGGTCGATCACTCCGTGCAATAATTATTAATAACAAACTAATTAGCATCAAATTATGCAAGAAAATAGCATAAAAACGTTGCTCAAAGTTTCAGCTTTGCGTTGCAATTATAAAAGTTCACGAATTAATTACAGAAACTTAGTAATTCGTGATTTTTCACTTCACTTCACATATACTTTTTTCTTTACCCATATACTTTTTTTTTTTCATTTTGCTGTATGTTTAAGATAAGATTTTTCTTAATCCTTTGCTGTTTGTACAATGGCATAAAAGATACAGTTATGTTACGTTCGCAATATTTACTATTAATTTTAGCAATTTATCTTCATTAATAATACTGCTATCAGTTATCATTCCTGCCTTCTTACCTTTTATGTAATATCTCAGTTCAGCCAAAAATCGTGTCTTCTTAGAAAAACTCAGAATTTCGGAAACTGTGAGTGATAGAGCAATTTTGATTATGCATTCGTTCCCAAGAAAGTAAACTTTACAAGACTCATATTACAATAGATATTACAGATTAAACTTTGCGTTGAACGGCGTTATCGGTGCTCGTACTGTTCTCGAAACAGAATGCACGCATGCAAAACACAACGAAGTGTAAAAATGCATCGACAGCGAGAAACTGAATAGAGATATACGATATACGAAAAAATAACAATGCGGGTCGATCTCTGTTTCATTTTTATCGGATTAGATCGCATTTAAATTATAACACACGTCGGAATGATAAAAATATGCGGAAAAGATTCGAGATAAGAATTTGCGTAACGATAATTACCGAGTAAATGGTAAATAACATAGTGGCGAGTAGTGTATTTAAACGATTTTATCACCGGCGTCGTCGATACGCTCAATTTGTTCCACTAACGAAAACAAAACGATTCTGACCGAGCAGATATCTAGCAGCAGACATCGTTTATCTCTCGGTTCAAAGATCAACGATAATAATAATTATTACCCGATCTAACGAGCAAATCATGCATCTAGCGAGCAATGAAAAGCAACATCGCTCGGAGAGGAAGCCAATTATCATCGTTCGCAACATCGTTTAACGAGTTAAAGATGTCATTTGCCTCTGAAAAGCGTCGTCTTCCCAACACAGAGAGAAATCTACGATATACAACGAGACAACCAACCAACTACTACCTGACATCGGCATCCTCCGAATAACCAAAACAACTCACCGTTGGAACTCTTGAGCCATGGTCAATCCGTCATCCTTCAACGAAGCAATAGTGATGGTAACCCTATCTTTCATATTACTGAAGTGATACGCCGCGATTCTGAGAGCCCAAAGAGCTAGACCACCGGTGCCTACTATCAGGATTTTGCAAATCTTCTCGCCTCTCTCCTTCAACAACGCCTGGACGTGTTCGTGGGCGGCGAAAACGGTGTTCATGGCCAGCAGAGCTCCAGCTGGTAGCATCGCCGCGATGCTGAGACTCACGTTGTCAGGGATCTTTATGAGGTACTTGAGGTCGTGCACGACCAGGTATTCCACGTATCCGTTTGGTATGCCTTCGTAAGGGTAAAGAATCACTCGATCTCCGACCGTGTAGCCACAGTCCTCCGGCACGTTTGCTCCAAGCGACTCGATCACGCCTGAGACCTCGTATCCGGGGAACAGGGACGCGTCTCGGACCCCGTGATGAGGTAACCCCACCGGGAAGTCGCCTTCTACGGAGACTTCCGTGGCTAAACTGCTACCACTGGAGACGGAAATCAGGCTAGATAGGCTGGGCGATCGACGAGGATGGTAACAAGCACCTGCACACATCACTCGGATGCGGGCTCCGTGTGCCGGGACGTCCGGAACGGGCACGTCGAAACTGAACACCCATTCGCGATCAGATACGCTCGGGCTGTCGATAGACACCTGCTTGCACAGGTTGTTCATCTTCTTCCTGAAATTTCGCGAAAAAGAATCGTGGCTTAGTAAGTAGAATACGTATCTCGGCTTACATAGCTTGGCGGATGCTATCGATCATTCGTGACGCTCGTGAGCCAGGTTCCAGCCGCTCGATTCGCAAGTTCCAGATCAACTCCGTTAAACAAAAATTAAAGACTTATCTTGGACACTGAAAATCGGAATTTTAGAAAGTTCAAGATGTTGAGTCGACCACTTTGGCTCGTGAACGAGGCGTGATTGAACGATGCGAACGATCCGAAACGGTAGCTTTTATGAAAAACAGATTAAAACACGCGCATACCCGTTGCAAAGCGAATAGGGTTTGTGCGTAACCGACGTCACTGGTTCTAATTCCACGGGCATTTTGTATCACGGTTCTCCAACTTCACAATTATTCCCGATTATTAGAATCTTCTCGCGAAGATCTGCTCTTGGGCGGAATATATCTGCCTATGCACAGGATTTCGGAAAGGAGAAACGATTCGATCTCGATACTATGTCGAACGATTGAAATGGAAACTCGGTTCGGGAAAAGGTTGGGGAAAAAGAAAATGAAAACTCGGGAAACGATGACGACGACGAGGTTTCTCGTCGAAGGCACGAAACGTACTAGTTGAACGCGCTTACGCTCGTTCACTTTTATACTGCCACGGGCTTTCTCGTTCGGGTTGCGTTAGTCATAGCAGGCAGGAAAGAGGCCATGGTAGGGGCCAGAAGAAACAGAACGTGAGCAGGTACGAACATTCGCGTACCACGTGCAACCTCTGTTTTTCTCCTATATCAACGCCCTCACGTTTGTCCAGTGCGTCGTGATAGACGCATGAATGAGGCAGAGACGGCTCGTGTTTTTATTTCGACGTGTATTAAACCTTTCGGACGCGTACTTTCGAAAATTTGTATCTAGGAAAAATCGTTCGAGTACGCAGAATAGTCGAAGTAGCGCGGAGACATGTCCTCCGATGACGGTTCACGTTGTCTAACGCACCGCTGACAGTTCGAGACTCGCCTCGTGTATTTCGAAAGATAAAAATGACAAGTAGCGGTATATGTAAATAAAAAGATAAACTCGGGGCCGAAATACGAATTCTGTAACTCACTTGTCATCCATGTAACCGTACTAGTCATACAGGGCCGAGCATTTGCTCGATTAGAATCTTATCTCGTGGAAAGATTTGCGAAAAGAATTGATCTACCTCGGTACGCGAATTTTCCTCAAGATATACTGAATTTTCTCGAATTTCTATTGGCAAAATTCAGAGAATACGTTACTCATCCTTGTTTACAAAGCGTTTTGATGTTTTTACAACGTTTAAAGAGAAAAACATGTGACAACTATTGTTTTTGTACAGAGATTAGATAATAGAAACGAGTAACTAGGTGATATTAATTCGCACGAGGATGCAACGTATCTCAAGGAGATTAGAAATATCGATACGCGTTATCGTTTGGATTTTTTAGACGCGTGGAAAACACCTGAAATATAGGTAACTTTTATCAAGCCATCTTTTATCGATCAGCTGATGCTCTATTCTTGAAACGTTATTTTTTCTGTAGAAGTAATCAATATTCCGTGGAACGTACGTGGTTATTTATACAATACGTCTTTGTCTTTTCGAAGTCGATGAGCATAGCCAACGAGTTCCACGCTGCATAAAGTGATCAAAGGAGTGCTCGACTGACGTGACTAATATTTTCAAAATCGTTCTGCTAAAAGAAAAAACGAAAAAACAGACTTTCCATTATAGCCTAGTCTAAATTCGTTTTATCGAAAATAAAATAAAAAAAGAAGGAGGAAAAGAAAGACAGGCATAAACATTCTATTTATACGATGCATAACGTATGCAACTTGAACTCCGGATACGAAATTGCCCGGTCGTTTCGTGTGGCGTAGAAAATGATGGTTATGATTGAAATTCATTTTATCCGAATAATGTCTGCAATGTCTGCAATATTTGTCATTGGCATAAAGAACGAACAACAATAATCAATTATTAATTTTATGTGTCGCATGACACGTACGCATGTCTAGATAGAGCCTAGTCCGTAAACAATCGCGTTGCTTTGTTTTAACGTGCATAGTGCACGTATACATGTAGTCATGTTTATTGACGATCAAGTGGTAACATCATAACTGTCCACTCAACGATAACCTCTCGACATAAGCCCGACTTTTATCTTTGGTCCATGTACGAGTCCACGAACAAATTGAATAATACAGATAAGATTCGCATCGACGTGTTGCAATTCATTTTCTAGATTCGTTCTGCGAGACTGCCGTGAATTGCTCCAGATACTTGAACGCTTCTGCTTTAAGCTGCACGAGCTTATTTTTCAGCATCCAGACCATCGACGGGATAACCGATTCGTGATATTTATTGATACATCATTCAATGGTACGCGTTGTACTCGTGAAACGTGAAACATTTGTTTGCATACGGAAAAATAAGAAAAAGGAAAGGAGGAGTGATATTAATCGAGGAGATGAATGTTTCAGTGGGGAACGACGCAAATAGAACACTCGATTGTGAGTTATTTGTACGAGCGCACACGTCGGCCCTGATACGGAGCAACAAGCCTTCGAAAGATCTGAACAAGTAGCTGGTTATCGTTAAGAAATGATCAAAATCTAGGTTAAATCTAGGTTTACGAAAAAAAATTACTCAGAATTTCTCAATACGAGATAACCGAGAAAAAAGCGTGTTAAGTTGTTATTGCTTCCAATTTGTTTTCTCCGTTTCTTGCAGCGTTTACGATCCGCTGGAAACGAAAGACTCGTTCAACGAAAAACGAAAATCTCCACGTAATATTTGCATCGAGATGTGTGATTAACGACTGCATGATTCGAAAACCGGTCGTGGAACCGGTAGGAGTACACAAACAGTAACATTGGCTAAAATAAGACCAGTATGTACGACAGAGGCGTTACGTGCGGCGTTATTTAATAACGATATTAAACACGATAACAATTAGTCTTGCAAATTGTTAGTTTGTCTCGTTACTGGATTTATTATTGTAAACACGAACGACGAGATGATGAGATGGCAGAAATACGAGGAAACCGCGATTTCCTCCAATCACAGCTGCTAACAACCTCGAAGTTACGAAAGGATTAATTAACGGGGTTAATTACGAGGAATTTGTTAAATTAATAGTCGTGGCAGTTTTTATCGACCTATCGTTAAACAAGTCCATTCGATGATAATAACGTATGGTAATATAGATGCCTATACTTCTTGCCTGGTTACCTAACTGATTCAATCTGTTAACATTTATTCATCGTGACTTACCGTCCTGTCCAGTTAGAATCGTTATTGTACAAAGGAAATTTGTAGTCACGTCAAACACGCGGAAACAGACCAAGACAGACAGTTTGTCTAGATCCCGAAAACGCTTAGTTCATACACCACTGAAATAGCATGAAACGGGACAAGAAGACGGTGTCATAGGAAATTATTTTACAGCTATCTTTATCTAAAGTGTCCTTGAATATTTCACGTAATGCTGAACAAAGCTTCATTTTCTTCTGACAATTCCATTGAATTTAATGGCAACGGAGCAAGAACTTACGGTGCCAATACGAATAACGATGACATCGATATTTTCATGATATTTTTCGTAATTTTTTAATAATCTTCCAAATATCTTTCGCACAATTTTAATAAAATCTTTGAAATTTCTCGTAGAACTTTTCGGATAACTGCTTTAATGGGACTTGGAAAAAGAGGAGGCGAAATCTAGACGCGATGAAACTGTATCTATTTTTCGCACAAAGCTAAGAGAATAGCGGCAAAAATAAAAAAACAATTAGCTGCATTACGATACTGGCCTTGGTTTGAAGGAAGAGCAGAGTGTATTATGCGGTTTGCGTCGCGCAAGAAAATGTTTGTCATTTATAAAAGGAAAAACGCACCGTTATTCGTATGTCGTAGAATATTCCATTCGTACGTCGATCAATCGTTTATTGATCTTGATCAGAACAAAGTACGATTCGTTATTTTGGTTTCAACGAACCTCTACTTTGTCAATGTTTTTACTATGTCTTCAAGTTTTGCTCGTCAACGCGCTTATCTTTCACAAACAGTAGCTTGTTAAAGCCTTCATCTCATAATATGTGGCTTACAAACAGTTTGCCCAATAATCGTATGCAATAAAATAGTATAACGTCTCAAGCAACTGACAAAGAGTGTACGTGCACATGTCACTGATACGTTCATTTCGTAAATAAGCAAAAACACGATAAGTTTCCGCATTAGTCAGTTAAGTCAACTTTTACACGAGTCTTAAACGTACCTTTTAACGAGTTTCAGATTAGCGCCACTCCTTGCACTAATATTTTCCTACATATGTCAACACGAATGCTAATCTTAATTTCATTGATAAGCGGACGAATCTTCGATAGTCGATTTTTAAATCGATAAAATTTAAGTATTTTTATATTAATTACTTATTTCGCTCTAGTGGTCATCATCGTGTACAGATATAAATCTTTCTGAAAAGTAAATAACGCTAATGGTATCGCGTCAAGATTCACTGGGAATCGAAATTAAAACTGCAAATCAAAATACATCGTTAATAAGAGGGGATTAGGTTTCAAAATAAATATAACTTCAATTTGCTTTATAAAGACAACCTCTTGTCGTATAGATATTTTATCGGTACTCGATATAAATTCGATCACTGGTGCAGATTATGCGTTATGGTACTTTCTTTCCGATAAAAAACATATCAGAAATAAAACACGCCGCAGGAATAACTCGAGGTCTGATATATCAGAATGAAAATAATTGCTTATCCATTTTTCACCGTTAGAGTTGACGACACTCGCATAGTTTATGGAGAAGGTACTGCAGAACATCTTGTACAATTATCGGCATTTTAACCGAACGTTGCTACATTGACTCGTGTAACCGCGTTTCTGTTACGCGACCAGCTCAACGGAATATATTGATTACCATTATCCAAAGAATCTGTACATTAGAAGAATCTAATTTCAACTGGCAAGATTATCTCGCAGATCATTGTCCTGTAATATAAATAGCGATACAAAATTTTCGTAGCATTATTAAAGTGAGCGTCAATAATAAAAATACACACGATTCCAATTTACATACATATTATATATGCTATGAATAACCGAGCATCTGATTCCGTCTTGAGTTCCCGAGGGACAAAGAGATTCTCGAAGCGTGTCCAACGGTTCTCGGAAACAAAGGAACTTTGTAATTTGATTTATTATTTTACAGAACACAGTAGCTTCTCAACAGTATCAATAGTCAATAAATACCTTTAATCCTTGATTATCGACGAATTTAAAAAATATCGGAAAAGTATGTGCTTGCTTCGGTGTTTACTACTGTTGTATATCTTGGCTCGACGTACTCCTCTATTTTATATTTCTTTTCTCCATCTGTGCTATCGAAGAAAACATGTTTACAATATCAATAATTTAGAAATTTTACGATGCGAGGAAAAATATCTTTTTCAAATAGCAATTTTAATTTATTTTATTTTTCATACACGAATACCTATGAACAAGGCATTGAATTTTCTGTTAAAAATCTAGTATAAGCTCTACTGCGTAAACGCTTTTATTGTTAAAAATTATATCACCTGATAGGAGCGC